AAAGCAGCTTCACGGAGGTTCCAGCAGGAGACAAAACAACCAGTAATTTGCGATATGTGCTTTCCCACCCGCAACCCTTCTTCACACCCACTCGGCCTCCTCTGCTTCCAGCGGCCACAGTCTCTTGGCCGGGAAGCACCGGGTGCTTGGATTCCACCCGCTCATACTGGCCAGCTCCCTGAATGCCATTTGTTGGCTGCTGGTGTTGCTTTTTAACCTTTCTTTTGATTTCTTCCTTACCTCTCACCACCTCCCCCTCCTTTCGCTCAAATACCTGGCTCCATGTGCCATCTTTGCTTCTTCCTAAGGGGCTGCGGAGCTCTGTTCGGGTGTGAAGCTACTTCCCGGTCTGGGCTGCCACACTGGTGGGATCCCAGGGCTTTTGTTTCCTTGAATTGTTTGTTTGTTTTCCTTTCCTTTTCTCGACTTGTGAGCTCATTCTGGCCAGGTGGTGCCGCATGGCTTGGGACCTACCCCCTCGACATGCACAGATGTGCAGAGGGATCCCTGAGAGCATTTCTTTTCTTGTGGGTTTTTTCTTCCCCCTGCTTTTTTGGGGGCTTTTCTTGTTTGTTTTTGTTTTTTTTTTTAATTTCTTTCATTTTCTTTTCCTTCTTTTTCCCTTTTTGTCTTTCTTCATGACTCAGTTTCTTGTCTCTCTATACCTTCCTTCTCTTCTTGTCCCCTGAATACCCGGCGCTCAGTGCCTCTATGCCTTCTAGCCAGGCTGTACTGCAACACCTGAGAACAACTTACCCAGACCCCATAGCAAACTGGTGGGATCCCTGGGCGCTTTGCTGTTCTTCTTCTTCTCTAATTTTTATTTATTCATTTTTTTTCTTTTCTTTTCTTTTTTCTTCTTCCACTTTTTGTTTTTCTCCATTTCATAGTCTCTTATCTCTCTACTCCAACGGCAAGCTCCCCTAGCATTCGTTTTTGTTTCTTTGTATCTTATTGATTCCTGTTCCTCTCTCTTCTCTCCCATAACCGTCTTAGCTCCACACGTAACAATCCCACCCCCCGCATCCTGCCTACCTGCATCTTGCGCTCAACATCACACCACCAAGCAGCACAGGCATGGCCTACTGGAACCTGCCCTGCACTGATTACCCACCCGCCCTGGTGGCTGTAGTAAGTGCCCCAAACAACCCATCCCAGTAACTCCTCTTCAGCTAGACCTGCCCTGCTGTACCATATCTCAACGACTGACCCTGCCAATTGGAGAAGGAAGCAAAAAGTATTGTGCCCACAGACGAGCAAACAACAAAGAACACACAGCCTGCCTGCTCAGACATAGCCAAATTAAAAAAAAAAGGACGAAACAAACAAATCTACAATCAGTACACGAAAAAAATAACTACTGAATGCCCTGAAGACAGCAGACAATATCAAAACATTTACAAAAACAGGACAAGATGGTTACAGTAGGTATCCAAAATAAAACACCAAATGACCTTCCAGTGGAAGAAAAGACACTAGAACTACCTGATAGGGAATTCAAATCTCTAATACTCAGAATTATCCAAGAGTTCAAGCAAAAAGCGGACAAAAATGAGGAAAAAATACACAAATTCATGGAAAGGGCAGACAAATTCATGGAATATACAGACAAAATAGAGGAAGAATTCAGGAAAACAATGCAGGAACAAAATGCCAAAATAAATTCACAACTAGAAATTATACAAAAACAACGAGAAATCCAAAAGATAAACAACAAGATTTCAGAAACGGACAGTGTCATAGAAGGGCTGAGGAGCAGATCTGAAATGGTGGAAGACAGGATCAACGGAATTGAAGACAAACACTTGCATACAACTCTGTTCGAGGAAAACTCAGAAAAAAGAACAAAGGAAAATGAAGAGACCCTGAGAAGAATGTGGGATACAATCAAAAGCAAAAATTT